CTGCCTGTGTCTGTGTCTGTGAGGAAAGTGGGCACAAGGGACGTCGCCATTCTCATCCGCGAACTCACGTGGATTTATGGCGTCGGCTCAGCAATGTTTCATCATCTCATCCTGTTCACGGAACTATTCAGATGTTAAGATAAATGAGGAGATGCTCACATTGAGTTTCGTCTGGAAGGCGGACACCGATCCAACTGAGGAACACGGACGCCAATCCAACTGAGGAACACGGACACCAATGCAATTGAGGAAGACGGACTCCAGTGCAACAGAGGAAGACGGACAGCAATCGAACTGAGTGTACCATTACGGTCACCGCCTGCACATTCGGCCCATGCGAACATCCAGTGAGTGGGCGGAGCGTTCACTATTTAATTCCGCTCAGACTGTGTACTGTAGCTGTACGAATGTATTCCATATGCATGCATGACTTGTGGAATGTATGTCATCCGTTAGAAAGTAGAGAATCGGGCACGATTCCGTTTGTCATTCAGTAGAAAGTATGCAGAGAATCGGGCACGATTCCGTTCGCGTCATCAACGCGGTAGTGAAGTGAGCGACGACAGTCCGAAGTGAATGTGCAGCCAGGTGGTGGCTCAGCCAGCGGACAGCGGCTTCAGTCGTCATCGAGGCTTCCCTGAAAAAGGTTTGAGCCACGGAGCGCCTGGAAATGAATTTGCCACGTTAAAGGGAGTCTTCCACATTTATATGGGATTTTGTACTGAAATAGCCATCTTGAAAACTTTTTAGTGCTGTTCACAATCCCTTCTAAGACCTAAGACCTAAGGTTCTCAGCTTAACGCCCGCGAAAATGGGGAAAGGCAAGTCGGGAAGAGTATTTCAAAATCACCTTGACATTCATGACGTCATAACAACGTCATTCAAATCGAGCCACTCCATAAGCCATGTGGCGATAAAGGCCAAGAAACATGTTATTATCCAGGCGTTCACATCTGGCGTTCGTGAGCGCGATTTCCAGATAGAACGGCTACCCATTGGCTCTCAGTCAATTTTAAGCTGGTTTCATCATATCTAATGATTGCTTCAATATCTTCAAATGTGAAACATGCCCTTTCCAAATCGCTGCGTCGTCTGGGAAAATCTGGAGATCCTGCCTTTTGCACCGCAGAAGTGATGCGCCACAATGACGCAACACTCACTATCCGTGAGTTTGGACTCAGGCCCGCTAGGGCGGGGGGGGGGGGGGAGGTGGCGCCGAGGAGGTTACGCCCGCTGAGATGGCCAACAATTTTGAACCGTCACTTCGCCTCAGTTGGTCAAAAAAATCGCGGCCGAGCTGAAGAAGAGCAGCCACGGCGTCCGGCCTCTCCCTCCGAGACCACCGTGCGTGACCACAGCGCGGCTAGTTTTATACCCTGAGACCCTGGCCGGGCTTTCAAAGGTTCTGAGTGCATTGTCTTCATCTAGAGCTGTTGGAGTCGACGCTGTGCCGCTGCTTGCGCTAAAAACTGTTTCGCTGTTGTAGGATCTCACTTGCTCCATCTTGCCAGTCCTTTCATGGTCACGCAAATTTTTCCCTCGGCGTAGAAGTTAACTTCAGATCTTCCCCTTTGCAAGTCCGGTGCCCGTGCCGTTGCCAGCAACTTTAGGCCTGTATCAATTTTATGTGTCGTCGAAAATATGCGGAAAGACTGTCCGTCAGCAGCTGTCGACGTATCTTGATGTCCACGACCTCTTAGCCCCCTCACAATACGCGAGTGGGTCGTGCCACTCACCGAAAGACGTCATGCTCGACGCCGTGGAGTGGATGACGCGTCGGATCGAATCTGGACATGTCGCCGTCACCTCCATGAACATAAGTCGAGCTTCCGACGGCGTTGGCCACGCCGTCCTCCTGACCCAGCCGCAGTGACACGACATCAATGCTCGATGGCTTAAAAGTTATCTTGGTGGACGGCGGCAGGTGGTGAAGGGTGGCTCACTATCCCTTCCCTTGTCCCACGCTGCCCAACAGGGGTCCATGGTGGGCCCAATCCTCTCCAGCATCGTTACGAACGACCTCCCATCCTACCTGGCTCATGGGCGTCTGGTTTCCCACGCCAAAGATACCCAACTCCTCGCCTCCGCCCACCCCGACCATTGGTCCATTCTGAAACCCTGTCAGGAGGAAATCATCCTTGCCCTCCAATCCTACTTCACTGCCAATTCCCTGAATGTGAACCCTAGCAAGGGAGTGACCATCGATCGTACCCTATCCCGGGAGGAGCACATATCCAAAACAGTTCAAAAGTGCAACTCAATACTGTTTTGTCTACACAAAATTCGCCTTCATCTCACATCTGAAGGCCGCAAACTCCTTATCCATGCCCATGTTTCCCCCACGTCCTGTACTGACCCTCAGTTCAGGGCGGGGCCGTCGCCTGCCATATCGACCGGGTGCAAAAAATCGTAAATTTGGCGGCCAAGATCGTCTCGGGAGCGCGAGCTCGAGATCATATTTCACCGGTCCTAAGGTCGCTGGACTGGTGCGACATCCGTGACCTAGTTACCTGCCGACGTTTTCAGGGTCCTAAATGATCCTCATGCCCCGACGGCGGTCCGGTCGCTGCTCAGCCCTCGCACCGCTGTGGGCGTATCACGAGGTCGGTGGTGGTCGGCGTTTTGGAGCTGCCCCCCTTTCCAGCCACCCATGTCGCGTAGAGTATTTTCATATCGTGCGGCCTCACCCAGGAACCACCTGCCGCCGGCCGTTATAGCCCCCCGGAGCCGTGATGCGCTCATGCCTCAACTTGACCAACGTGAAGAAGAGGGTCTTGTGTTGACTTTAGGGGCCGTTCTTAAGCTCTTGACGCGATATCGTTTTCGTCGCATATTCGTGTTTAGCGTGCAACTTGTAACCCACTGACTCGAATCAAACATTAAGCCATACATATGGAACAATGCGTAGTACTAGCATAACGTGACTTCTGTCGAGATCGTGATGGCCGCGTTCCACGTTCTGACGCCCGATAGCGCGCGGTTGGCGTACATTGGGGTTACAAAGCCGATTTTCCCGCATTGCTATCATGCACTTTACCGCAATAAATGACAGATTCGTTACAACGTAATGTGTTCAGGTCATCCAAGGTCACGCCGCGCCGAATTCCCAGAAGCGAAATGTCCTTTGGCCTCCGCCCCATTACTAACGCTCTTCAGTTTACAGTGAACCAACGTTTTGCAGCAACCCACGCTCACCACGGCGAAGTTAACGAATACACGAAGCAGGCGAAGTCCAGTGTCATGCTGGTGTAAGAAACGACCATGAGCGTCATATTGTGTGGGCCATGATATTCGCGCTGCACCCGCTGTGGGACATGGGACAGAATTTCCCTCCGCACGACGTAAATCGACTTTATGCAGGACTTAAATCAACTTGGTAATCCCCCAGACGCATATCACACCGACGTGGGCGACCACCATTGTCACTGCACGGGAAACATGGACGCTGTCGGCATGTTTTATTGCTCAAAATCAAGTGAAAACATACTCCGTATCCAGCGGGCAGCGGCCGTCAGCGGAGTCGCCACCCGGCGACGGCTCGCCCCCCCCCCCCCCCCCTGGTAACCGGCCGGAGCCGGCCACATCACCAAGCACGCGCGTCCGCGGGCCGACCGAGCCGGCCGAAGCAGGGGCGCAGCCCCACGATCAGCTCAGGGCACGGAGTGAGCCGGAAAACGTCGTTAACAAAGGACCTCAGACAAAACCCGACAAAGAACCTGAGACCCGACCTGCTCCCACCCCCGCCACAGAACCGTAAAAAACCACAGCCGCCGCCGGCCGAGAGGCATAGCGGCGCGAACTGAACCTTCCATCCCTCTACGCCGAGCAGTCGGGGAGTGCCCATTGCCTGTTCCCATACCGATAACAGACGCCACGCATCGCAACAAGCCGGCCACATGGATTCGATTCGGACAAGACCGGTTATCTATGTGCCTTTGGGCGACTCAGAAGGGAAGCGTGAAACCCGGCCGCGTAGCCCCTTTCCGTGCGGTTTGGTGAAGCATGTGCGAGCCAAGCAAGAACGGTCCCGTACAGCCACCGTTCCGTCCAGTGACGTCTGGGCAGGATACAGACAGTGTGCACCAAAATACCAATAATAACGTATAAATAATCATGCATCGCTTTTCAAAGCTTCTTCATAGGCTGGACTGATCTGGATAACTAGCACCTCCCCCCCCCCCCCGTTACACAATCCGGGTCGCTATCTGGCTTGCGTGCGTAGATCTTCCATCATGTCTGCGCCCGACGCGGCAGCCTGAGTAGCACGCGCAAGTTCTCCAACACTTGTGACTTCTAACGGCCGGGTTGCGGCTGGAGCTCCAAGGCTGTCAACCTCTTCTGCATGCCCGCCCACTGCCACTGGCGCTGCTTTCCCGAGAGGTCGTGATTTGACGTCATCGGAGTTGATCGCCTCTACGCTCTCTTCGACACGTATTGAATCATCGTCAGTAGTGTCCATCATCTCAACTCGCTCCTCGGGGGCCGCTCGCTCCAACCTGTCCTCTTTGGCACCCACCACTCCAGCTCCCTCCGCGGCACGGAAACGTGTTGCCTTCCCTTGCTCCCTCCTCAGCAGGTAACGTCTTGCCATCGCTACCCCTCTCTTCCGGAGGTAGCGTCTTGCCTTCTCCGGCCACCTCCTCGGGAGGTAACGTCTTCCTTCTCCGGCCACCTCCTCGGGAGGTAACGTCTTCCTTCTCCGGCCACCTCCTCGGGAGGTAACGTCTTCCCTTCTCCGGCCACCTCCTCGGGAGGTGACGTCTTGCCTTCTCTGTCCCTATCTTCAGGGGGTAACGTCTTGCCTTCTCCCTCGTCGATGCGTAACACATTGCCTTCACCAGAGTTGGTCGCCTCCGCTCCCTCCTCAAGACGAAAACACTTGCCTTCTTTTGTCCATTCTCCCTCCGAAGCCATTATATCCACCCCGTCCCCAACAGCCAAAGCCGCACCATCTTCACCACCTCTGTCCCCAGCTGCCTCCTCTTCGCCGTCCTCTCCGCCTACTGCCTCGCCTTCGCCGGCGGCTGGAGCTTGCTCTGTGTCGCCTGCAGCGGCGTCGCCCGGGCCCGACCGCAACAGCGACTCGGTGCCTGTCGGCGCCTCCTCAGCCGCCGCGCGGAGCTCAGTCGGCGGCCCCGGCGTGGCCCCGTCCGCCGCCGCTAGCGGCGCCGCCTTCATCTCAGCGTCGGGCACATCCTGGTCGGCGGCGACGGGCGGCGCGTGCTGCAGCGTGACGTTGACCTCGGATGGCTGACCGGGCGGCGGCTGGATCATGTACACATGCAGCACCTGGCCGTCGGGCCGGTCGGGCGACGGCGACGCGATGATGAGCAGGTTCTGCGGGTTGACGCCTGCCGGCAGCTGCAGCACGCCGCTGGACTGCGCGGCCGTCAGCTGCAGCGAGCTGGCCGCCGACTGCAGCGAGCCGGCCGCCGGCGCCGCTGGCGGCCGGCCGACGCCCGTCGGGTTCGTCACGTCGAAGGTGGCGGCCGGCGCCCGAGCCGACGGCGGCCGCGCCGACGGCGGCCGTACGTTCTCGCGGCCCGGCGGTGGCCGGCGCGCACGGCGCGGTTCGCCGGCCATACTCTCCAGCATGTCGGCGGCGGCGCTGGACTCCTCGGCTGCGGCAAGACCGACACAGGGACGTCAGTGATCGGCACAGCTCAGCGCCGAAGAGCAAGGCACACTTCAGGACACGACGCTGCAAAACGTGCCAACACACAATAGTAGTTCAAAAACAAGCTATCGTTGGCAAAGACTGATTTTAAAGCCACCCCTACAACAAATCGATATTTGAATTTAATTATATATATATATATATATATATATATATATATATATAAGAATAACTAATCGAAGAAAATAATCGAATTTCCACCAACAAAACACAGCATAACACTCCACACCACAGGAGAGCCAGAGATGTGGACCCCCGCCCACACCATACTTGCATTTGTGTTGGACTACCCGACACATGCACTACACGTCGCATCATTATTGTGTCGGTCGCTGTAGTGCGATCAACTACGGTTACAGATATGGTGACCGGACGGGAAGCGTGAGAGGGTCACGACATACGTCTAACGCTAGGGTAGAATACCGAGCGGCGCGTGGGAAACAGCAGGCCATGATTGACACCACCGACCCGTGTGGGCGGGTAGGCCTGGCCGGTCTCAGCACGACTGCCGTCCCCCTAACAATCGCAACGCAAGTCCGTCAATTTATCTCACCCCATGCTTCAAATCACCGCCGTCTGCAGCGCACACGCCGAGACGCGCCCCGATGTGGAGGCGACGCCCGCGGCCAGCGCGGTGCCCGCTTCCCCGGCCCGTTCTCCACTCACCCTTGATGGCTCTGGGCGGACGACGCACGGTCGCTTTCTCCTGTCGCAGCGCCGTGACGTCTTTGGCCCGCACCTCTCGCCGCTCGGCCCGCGCCGCGCTGCGCTGGCTCTGTGCCGTCGACTTGCACTGCTCCACGGTGCTCTCCCAGACTGCCGGACGGAGGACGACGGTCAGACGCAGCAGGCCATGACGGCAGGGGACAATCAGAGGCGGCAGGCCACGACGGCAGGGGACAATCAGAGGCGGCAGGCCACGACGGCAGGGGACAATCAGAGGCGGCAGGCCATGACGGCAGGGGACAATCAGAGGCGGCAGGCCATGACGGCAGGGGACAATCAGACACGGCAGGCCATGACGGCAGGGGACAATCAGAGGCGGCACGCCATGACGGCAGGGGACAATCAGAGGCGGCAGGCCACGACGGCAGGGGACAATCAGAGGCGGCAGGCCGCGACGGCAGGGGACAATCAGAGGCGGCAGGCCACGACGGCAGGGGACAATCAGAGGCGGCACGCCATGACGGCAGGGGACAATCAGAGGCGGCAGGCCATGACGGCAGGGGACAATCAGAGGCGGCAGGCCGCGACGGCAGGGACAATCAGAGGCGGCAGGCCACGACGGCAGGGGACGCGGTCAGATCAGACGCGGCTGGCATCCCCCAAGGCGGCACCAGCAGGGCAGTGGTGGGATGGAGGCAGTGGTGGGAGGTAGTGGGCGGCCGTGATCAGGGTGGGACACTGTCGTAGTGGAAGGTAGGAAGCGGCGGTGGTAGGAGATCGTGGGCGGCCGTGATGAGAGGTGGGAAACGGTGGCAGTGGAAGGTAGGAAGCGGCGGTGGTGGGAGGCGGGAGGTAGCGGTGATAGGTGCGTGGCGGCAATGGTGGGAGGTACGAGACGGCAGCGGTGGGAGGCGGGAGACAGCAGTGATAGGAGGTGGGTGGCGGCAGCGGTGGGAGGCGGGAGACAGCAGTGATAGGAGGTGGGTGGCGGCAGCGGTGGGAGGTGGGAGGTAGCAGCGGTGGTAAGCAGGCATCGGCAGTGGTGGGAGTGGCGGGTGGCGACAGTGGCGCGAACATGGCATTATCGGCAGGCGTGGAGCCACCGGCCCCTGCGGCAGGAACCAGCTGGCGTGCCATTCCCGATTCTCCTTCGAAGGACGACCACTCGGCCAGGCAATGATGCACGGTACATCAGATATTTGGAATTAATAGATAATGATAAAAAATGCAGCTCCGCGCAATTGCTACCATGTGGATGGCACCACGCATGTGTTAAGCTTCCAGACGCCTGCGTCACATATGCAAAATCTTCCCCGGTAGGGCCTCCCAGCTTTACTGCCTTAAGGCACGACAGTCTGCGTGACAAACAAACATATATGCAGATGAATAAGCAGCCAGCAGTCAGCTGGTTTCCACCTCTAACAGGGCTTCCACCGACTACGCTCCGGACCTGCTATATTGTCCGATCGCTCTCTCAGCGAGACCCAGCAACACTGTCGGCGCCTCTCTCTCTTCCCGGCGGCCTTTCCCAGCGCCAGATAACATAATTCCGGACAGGCGGCACCGCGGCGCCGGCACGAGGCGTGTCCCGTTTTCCGACTGCCGCTTACATCAAACGACGGTCGGGATTCTACCGACGGAATAAATCGGCCGCCGGCCGGCGCGTCGACAGCCGGCCATTTGCCGGCACGCGGCGGCCGAAGATCCCCGAGAGACGCCGCGGCCGGCGCCGGCCACGGCGACAGCCAGCGACAGCCGCCTGCTCGGCCGCTCACCCGCACCGGGTCGTTCGCAGGCAATACGGCTACAGAGCTGCTGCCATTAATCCCGTGGCCCAGCGCCGAGCGGCCCGGTCACGCACGCGGCCGATGCAACGGCAAGGGACGGGGTCCGCACCGACCCGACCAAAGGGCGGAGAGAACAAGCCCACAGGCAAGTGACAGCGCGCAAGCTTACAACTGCATGGAAAGTTTGCAATGGTTACGCACATTTCGTATGATGTTTTACTTCATGTCCTACGTCGTGTCCTGGGCAACGTTTAAGCGTTGTCGGTTTTGAGACGTTGCTAGCCAGAGGCTGGTTTTTGAACACTCACCTTGGTAGAATGACACAACATCGGTGTCTGGGAAGTGTGAATGTTTGTCAGGGATTTCGAATCTATACGGGGAACACAGTTATCTGACGATGTCTAAATCATTAGCATGATCTGTCACAGTTTTGACCGTACGTTTTCCAGAACTGGCTTCGGATTCAGTGTCCTTCTCGTGTATCATTGGGGCTTTACGACGCACTCAGCTGCTGAGGCTATATGGCGCCGCCCGCCTCTCACCCAGGCAGGAAGGGCGGACACAGCGGGGAATCGAACCCCGTACCTCTGGTTTCCCAGATGTGCAGTGGTCAACGCAGACACGTTAACCACTACACTACCGGCGCCCCTCAGTGTCCTTCTCAAGGCATTGCTTTTTGGGCAAGCCCGACTCCATAACGCCCGGAAGATTTTAACCTGTCACGTAATGATACGGCACGGCCGCCCGTGCACGCATGACGGTTTTGACCAGTTACATGCGACGAGCCAGGTACGTGCCTTTTCCAGAACGTGAGCCCACCTGTCAACCACACTGAGATCACGGCGCAGCTCCATCGGTAGTTACGGAGATCACGACATAGCCACACCGGGAGTTACGGAGATCACGACATAGTCACACCGGGAGTTACGGAGATCACGACATAGCCACACCGGGAGCTCAGGGGTTACGATGATCACGACATAGCCACACCGGGAGTTACGGAGATCACGACATGGCCGCACCGGGAGTTACGGAGATCACGACATAGCCACACCGGGAGTTCGACGGTTACGATGATCACGACATAGCCACACCGGGAGTTACGGAGATCACGACATAGCCACACCGGGAGTTACGGAGATCTCGACAGACATAGCCACACCGGGAGTTACGGAGATCACGACATAGCCACGCCGGGAGTTCCCGGAAAAGCGGACGGATTTTCTCCCGCATGACGATCTTCACGGGAAACGACATCACCATTCACCACAATTTCCTGAAAGCCACCTTCATGCTATTTATCATGCCTGCAACAGCCTCTACAGACCATACCATCGTACACGGGAGTCGAAAAATATGGTGAAATAGCACTTCGAAACAAAACAGGGAAGACGCAAAGGCAGTTCGCATGCCATTTCAAAACATGAAAAGCAACATCGAGAAACCCGATTTTGGACCATGGGCAAAAGCTTATCACAAAGAGCAGCCTTAAAAATCTGACTGGTGACGTCACCCCACGACAACGAGCCGACCCCGGTAGGGACGGCTAAAGTAAGAGATGTCTTGCTGGGTTACCGCCCATCGGACCTCTTTGCCGGCTCCGGTAGAGAATGACCAGTAGCAGGCCCCTTACCAGGATTGTGGTTTCCTAGTCACTTAAGCCCCCAACTTTGAGAAGAAAGTGGGCAGAATACGTGGGGAACCCATCTCTTGGCTACTTGGGGTACGTTTCGTCATTTTTTTTCAATGCCCAGCCCTCCCCTAAACTCATTTCGCGACACCATGCCTCTGACCACTGCGCTTAGAATGGCAAGACAAGCGCTCAAGTTGCCTCCATTCAAAGTGAGCTCACAAAAGAAGCTCGCGCTGTCCGAACATAACGTGCGCATCCGCTGCAGTTCCTGGCTCCCAGACCAGCGACAACCTAGACCTTCGTTCTTCCATCAGATTTAGTTAAGCACCGAGGAGGTTTTTCATTTAGACGTTTAGTGAACAGTCAATACATTTTTCATCCAAGGCCTGATGGGGCTCGAGAAGCACCACTGCACAGAAGAGAAGTGCACTGGTGAAAGAGCAGAGGAAAACAGAGCCGTTCGATTGAGCGACGTGACTGGGTGGTTGGTTCAGTGTACACGCAAAAGAAGATGCTTAGCAGGTACTCTGAACCCAAAGCCACCCGTGCAAACCATTCGGAACGAATTCTTCCAAAAATGTTATGTTCTTTCCAGCGATGTATCGATCGGGCTACAACGCAAATGAATGGCTGAAATATGAACGATTTAAGTCTGTCCGCTCTTCCTGGAATGCGTTTTGTGCCCGGCGCCTACACGGCAATGCCACGCGGGTGGCGACGGCTAAACTACGCATTGTCTACAGATTGTTGACAATGGAAATGCATCACTCAGCTGAGCTAACAACAATCTGGACCATTAAGAAGTGATAACGAGGGTCTGGTGATGACGGCAGCCACACAACTTTACCGCCTCGTCCGGGAAGGTTTCCCCCAAGTGCGCTCAACTTCCAACGATACGCAAACAATCTGTTTTTACGGCGGCTGAGGGAGACATGGGTGCTGGCAGAAGAACCAACGGACAAATAAGCGCTGCTTTTTGGTACAGCGCCAACTATGGTGGAAAGTACGCCCTGCCACAAACGCGTGCCAAGGCCACTATTTTTGACAGCGCCCGGGGATGAATAAGAACGGGGAGTGAAAGACAGATAATAGGACTATCGCCTTTGGGGACAGGCTCTCCCGATCTTGAAGATATCAGCAAATGATATGGTCGACAATTACATTGACGCAAAATTAAAACTTCACGATGACAAGTGTGCCCAGAGCGCAGAAGCCACACAGGCAAGGTGCTCATTAATACCCTAAAGCATGCCAAGGCCACGTGTCACCGCCACATCAAGACCCTCAGAAATAACAAAAAGTGGCCGGAAGTATCGTTTACGTTTCTGTGATCATACCTTTAGCGTCCATGTCCAGAGTATCAAGCATAGGCCCCCCCCCCCCCACCAGAACAACAATCCTCCCCCCCATTGCCACGTAATTCATATCATCCGCTATCCAGATTAGCACTATGCACGCGGAAGGGGGGGGGGGGTTACCCACTAACACACCACCATACAGAACCCAAGGGCGCCGTGGCCGTCCAGAACTTTCGCGAACGCATTGATTGAGTGGATCTCTACCGATGAACGCGGACCGCAGCCAGCGGCGCGACAGTCCCCTCCACTTCTGTTACGGAGTGGTCTCCCTAGTCCTTGGCAAAATCGGCAGGTCGCATCTTGGCCGCCGTGGGCAGGCATGGCTCACACCCACCCATAGAAACCACGGCACTCGCCAATTTCGCCAGCTTCCTAACAAACAGCGGGAGCGAGCCACAACAGGGGGCTGGGTCCTCGGCTGGGCCGGGAACTACTCTCTGGGGCGGCATACACCGCTGTTTATGCGCCGACGATGGCTCCCACCGAGACCGGCGTAGTTTGGCGGTCAGACAGCGGCGGTCGGCAGCCGGCCAGGCAGCGGCGGTCAGACAGCGGCGGTCGGCTGCCGGCCATACAACGGGGGTCGGCAGCCGGCCAGACAGTGGAAGAAGGCTGCCGGCCAGACAGCGGCGGTCGGCTGCCGGCCAGACAGCGGTCGTCAGGCAGCGGCGGTCAGACAGCGGCAGTCGGCAGCTGGCCAGACAGCGGCCGTCCGCCAGCCGGCCAGACAGCGGCTGTCAGTCAGCCGGCCAGACAGCGGCGGTCAGACAGCGGCGGTCGGCAGCCGGCCAGACAGTGGCAGAAGGCTGCCGGCCAGACAGCGGCGGTTGGCTGCCGGCCATACAGTGGCGGTCGACAGCCGGCCAGACAGTGGCAGAAGGCTGCCGGCCAGACAGCGGCGGTCGGCAGCCGGCCAGACAGCGGCGGTCGGCAGCCGGCCAGACAGCTGCGGTCGGCTGCCGGCCAGACCGCAGCGGTCGGCTGCCGGCCAGACAGCGGCGTATTTCTCCCAGCCGACGCGTTCAACCGTCACTGTCTCCAACCGGACACGAGGCCACGCCCGGACATCACTCGCGGGCGCAGGAGGAGGCCACGGTAAGGGGTGGGTGGCAGCGGCCGCATCAACTTACGCTTCAATTACCATAATTTTAGCGTTTCTGCACTGGACGGTTGTCCGGACAGTTTTGCCACGCCAGTTTCTCTCAGCATTGACGACGGGAGCTGCCAGCCTCAGCAGGCGGTCAGGAGTCGAAGCTTCCGCTGCGGCCGACACGCGAACCGCCACAGCCCGGTTCGCGGCTGACGGCGCCGCGTCGGTCGCACTGGCGCGGCGGTTCCAGCCGACCCGCGCGCTGGCACGGAGACCCCAGCCGACCCCCGCGCCGGCACGGAGGCCCCAACCGACCCCCGAGCCGGCACGGAGACCCCAGCCGACCCGCGCCGGCACGGAGGCCCCAACCGACCCGCGCGCCGGCACGGAGACCCCAGCCGACCCGCGCCGGCACGGAGGCCCCAACCGACCCCCGCGCTGGCACGGAGGCCCCAACCGACCCCCGCGCTGGCACGGAGGCTCCAACCGACCCGCGCGCCGGCACGGAGACCCCAGCCGACCCGCGCCGGCACGGAGGCCCCAACCGACCCCCGCGCCGACACGGAGACCCCAGCCGACCCGCGCCGGACACGGAGACCCCAGCCGACCCCCGCGCTGGCACGGAGGCCCTAACCGACCCGCGCGCCGGCACGGAGACCCTAGCCGACCCGCGCCGGCACGGAGGCCCCACTCGACCCCGCCCGCCGCACAAGCGTCAGCTTTGCGTCAACCCGCGCTCCGAGACGGTCCGAGTGTGACCGGTCAGCAGGAGCACGCCCAGGCAGAGGCGCAGTGTCCTGGCGGCACCCGGCATGTCGACACCGCTCGCCAAAAACTGTCCGTTCAACTGGAATGTCACCATTGCCATGAAGTGTCGCAGTATTCGGCCACTATCGCACCCGGGTAGGGTATCCCTGCCTGCTGCCCCTCCCCTCGATCACAATCGGCCAATCAGCATCGAGCCGGGCGAAGGTCGACCCAGCATCAATCAGACGCCTCGGGGCCGGGTAAATGGGCTGGGTAGGTCAGATGGCAGCGTTCGGGGTCAATGACGACGGATAAGTAGCCGACGAAATTTGTGTATGGTGGCCATCGGAGAGACAGAAGTCTAATAGCATGAACCTAGCTTTGCATCCTTCACACCCCTCTGGACGAATCTTGGAACGCTGCTGGAATGTTGGACTCATGGCTTTTGCTACCAGGCATGCTTAGCAAGACCTCCGATCCACAAACAAGGCCTGGACCACGTGCCATCGTTTTTTTTTAATGACCGGTCAGAGAAATCTTCAGCACTTTCAGACGAATGCGAAACAGCCAACACCACATGCTTCCCAGTCGAGAAACCTGTGCGCGTGCCTTCATCATCGTTCCGCTCATTTCACCTGAATCGGCGCACCTTACAGTCCACTTAAACCCTATGTTAACCCCCTAGTCCCCTACGTTAACGTTACAGCAGACTGCCGCCATAGGTTACAGAGATGGCCCGTCGGCCGCAGCCGATGTTCTCCCCATGGGGGGAGGGGGCGAGGGGCGGGGGGCGTATGTCCTCGCCTCCGGCGACCACAGAGGCCGTAGCTGGCTCTGATCCCACTTCAGCCTCCGCAGCGTCCGACCCCGGACGCCGCGGGCAAGCAAACACTCGGCCGGCGCGCGCGCGCGCGAGAACACGCCTCGAGACGGTCAACGAACGACGCGAGGCAAACACGGCGCCGGGGGAGGGGGAAGGGGAGGGGGAGGGGCGGGTCGCCGCCCGGGCGGTCGTCCAGTGGCGCCGGTATTGGCAATCAGCCGGGCCCGGACGTCTGGCCGCCGACCGTAACGCACCTGGCCGCCGTGCGCGACCGGCGGGGGGCCTATTGGCTGCAGCCAGCGTCGGCAGTGCTCTGACACCGATGCGGCGTGTGGGGACGCCGTCCGGCCGTGTTTACGGACAGGACGCGTCACACAGTCACCGCACAATATCCCTGGCCACTGACGCCGTGCTATTGTAGCCTGGGGGTTTCCCCAACGCAGTGGCGTGGATACCTGTCCGCGCAAATTATTTTCGCGGGGAAATAGAGCAGAGAGCTATTACAGACATTTCCTTTATAAACATTCACCGCTTGCTCCAATGCAAAATATTACCTATAAACGAAGTACGATTTCACTGCTGAAACAGCATCCCCCTTGCATCTTAAATCTGGTGGCTGGCATACCTGAACCGCGCCCGGCCCAGTGAGGAGACACGGTGACCTTTGCTTTCCAGGGAAATGGCATGTCACGACCACACGGTCTTCCCCTCTCCCGACACTGACCGTCGTTGTCGAAGATGGTGAGGTCGTACTGCATGTCCTCTGTGAGCGCCCGCTCCACCAAGTGGGGGTTCTTGCGCTCCTCCTTCTTGAACTTCTTCTTGAGGTCCACGCGACTCCGCTTGGGAAAGAGCTGCTGCATGATGGAGAAGTCGGTGCCGACTGTGCTCAGCGCCTTGTAGAACCGGGCCGTCTCTGCAACCAGCACACAGCGACGTCACGGCCTGGACAGCTGTCGCCGGACGTCACAGGCCCGGCCGGTGAGGGGCAGCGCACGGTAACGTCACAATAGTTTAAACAGGCTAAACTGGAGAACTTCGAGCTCTCTACAACGCGGACCACCCCCCCCCCCCCCTCCCCCATTGATGTGCCGTCATCTTCGGCAAGCTGACCAGAACGTCACACCTACAGCGAAGTTGTGCTCTGACGTCATAGCCAGATCAACGCAGTGCTGGCCCCGGCTGGGCGGCGGAGGTGGCAGGTGATAATAAAGGTATGGAAGAGCGCACGCTGCATCATTCGCACTGCACAGCTACAACCGCCGTCTCACGTGTCTCCATGAGCTACCCAAGATCAAAGCACATCCAAGTAACGACACAACCAACCCCACCCAGCGCCACAGACAAAGCAGGGACAGTGCCTCACCACGACTCAACATAAGTTCCAGCAATGGCACGCAGTGTGACATGAAATGGGGTTCCCTTGACTCGCCGCACAACGTGAGCTGCATCACGAGCACCCACCGATGGCAGGGCAGCCCAGCGGTGAGCCCAGTCCTCTCGCGTGCCTCGGGGTCGGCTCTCAGACCTCACGGACCGCTCTCAGCCGCACACAGTGTTTTAACTCCGCTTCGGCTGCTGGATGGGCCAGCCAATCTGGCAACTTACCCGCCCAATCCAGTTACACTGACGACGAACATGCGCAAAATCACCGACGGCCGGCGAAACAAAGTTTGCAGCCTCATAAATCACGGCAGACCACTTCAGTAGCCGTCTAGTGGCCTGCTTCACGTCCGGGAGGAGTGCGGCGTGGCCCGTGCGGGCCGGTGGTGTACAGAGCGTCTTATTCAACCGGCCACGCCAACGGCATGCCGCTAACTTTGCAGCCAAACTAACGCCGTTCGCCAGACGTTTTGAGATGGCAGTTTGAGTTAAGTAATGTATGAAAACAGCGGGTGCCCGGTCACTGTATTAAGTTAACCTGGTGTTAACTGATGGCGTGCACTACTTTGACCACATGAAAGGCCAGAAGAACATAACAAACCAGACTGGCGTGGCATGGTCTGAAAAAGCTAAGCATTCGACCAACATGAGGTTTGTGGTGACTTGATGATGTTCCACTCACAACCATACATCCCTTGTGACACCTATACAACCTTTTTTGTGAATTTGCCATGCAACTCTTCCCTTTCCTTCCCATTCTTAATCACCACATGGGTCCCGCTGACTGAAGCAAAAGACCGAGCCTACGATCGTAGCGTCAGAAAAAGATAACGTCCTAAATCAAATTTGTCAGACATTCAAGTGGGCACAGGCTCGTGGGGTGTCACCATCCATCTCGCCTGTCATTGATAAATACAACGATCTGTTTTAAATTACAACCGCGCTTTGCGGAGTTGTTGGCAGCGCCGGTAAGCTTGTGTGTAACACAACCAGCGTGACGCAGTCACCGCTCACGGAATCACAATCACAAGGAAATACAGAATCTGTACAACCTGTGACCGGCCTCAAAGGCGCCCCGGCTCATGCCCCCCCCCCCCCCCCGCCGTAACAACATCCGCACCCGTGCGTCGTCAACATCCCACACACCCACGCTCCCTACGCCCTAGTGCTGCACGTTTTCGGCGTCGACGCGCCCCTCATCTTCCCCAAATCAGCCCGTCTCCCATCGCCAGCCTGCCGCAGTGCCAGCCGTGGTACGGCGAGGTCGGTGGCCAGCCCACCGCCGGCCGGCGCCGAGCCCGCCCGGCCGGGGCGACCGCCGGCGGCGCGTACCTTTGATGCTCCACTCGTTGATCTGGCGCCGCTGCCGGTAGCCGTTGAAGGAGATGCGCGAGCCCGTGAGGTCCCGCACCAGCTCCGACGACAGCTCCTGATCGCGCTGCCGCTGCTGGCTTGTCTTGACCACCTGCGGGTGGCGGCGGCCCCGTCACGGGCGCGCCGCGCTGGTCGCGCGGCAGGTACGCGTGGCGAGCGAGGCCGCGCGAGGGCGCCGCGGGCCCGGCGCCGGGGCGGTTCGTGTGACGGGTCGTCTGGCCGGGAGGCGCGACGAGTCGCAGGCGTGACGCGAGCCGAGTCGTCACGGCAAGCTGCGTGACGCCGCCCAGAGAACGCTGTGACGGGCCGCCAGAACACCCTTCGCGACCGACCGTCGAAAGATCATCGATGATAAGCGGTGATCACCGGTGATCATCAGTGATCGGTAATAGGCGCCGAGATATGCCCTGAAGCAGACCGCCTGATCGTTCGGAGATGATACGCTCTATGACGAGGCGTCAGCGCCCGCTAGATGACGCATGAGCCGCGGAGACATCTGCTGCCTGCGAGACGTCCTCGAGCCGGCAGTGTAGACTGCGGGGCAGCCTCCAACAGGCAAGCAGCACACCCCGCAGACAGCGGCCGACACCACCGCGCAGTGCGACCAGAGCCCGCGTCTGACGTGTACGACGGAGCGGGCTACGTTACGGACCCCCAGCGGCAGGATTCGTTGAGAGCCCGCCAAATCTCGCCAGGTAGAATACTTAGTCAAATGCGCATTGCTAGCACAATGAATTCAGCAGAGCGCACAGCGCACATATGGAGGGGCAAGAGAGAACAAAAGGACGAACGTAAGCAAACACATCAGGATGACGAGTTCACCAGGTCGCGTAGCCCGGCTGGGCCAGATTGCAGCCAGCGCACTTAGCACCACATGACATCATCTCGGCTAATTACTGGTGAGGCTGGTCAGATCGCGCAAGACAAGCCTGAGCAGACCAGCAGAATCGGTCGTCATAGCAGGACGACCCCCCACTAACGTGCAGAGAGGCGACCCACCAGTGACTGCTCGTCCACGACGATGCTGCCGTCGGGGCCGACTTTGAGCTGCGGCACGGGCATGGCATCCTCGGGCTCCTCCTCGTCAGCCGGCGTCGGCTCCGGATCCGGCTCCGGCTCCAACTCCGGATCCGGTTCCGGGTCGTCCGGTCTCTGTGACGCCGAGTCTTCGGCCGTCGCGTCCGTCCGGCTCGACGTCACACTGCTCGCGCTGGCGGCGGGTGCGACGGTCAGGGGGCGTCCCGTCTACATAGCGGCAGGTGCGAGGGTCAGAGTGGTCCCACCAGCGTGGCGGCGGGCGCGAGGATCATGGGGGGGGGGGGGGGCGTCCCGCCGGCGTGGCAGCGGGTGGGAGGGTCAGTGGGCGTCCCGTCTACATAGCGGCAGGTGCGAGGGTCAGAGTGGTCCCACCAGCGTGGCGGCGGGCGCGATGATCATGGGGGGGGGGGGGGGGGGGGCGTCCCGCCGGCGTGGCAGCGGGTGGGAGGGTCAGTGGGCGTCCCGCCTACATGGCGGCGGGTGTAAGGGTCAGAGTGGTCCCGCCAGCGTGGCCGCGGGTGCGAGGATCACGGGGGGGGGGGGGGGGGGCGTCCCGCCGGCGTGGCAGCGGGTGGGAGGGTCAGTGGGCGTCCCGCCTCCATGGCGGCGAGGTGCTGGCTGACCCCGAGCCAGCGACGAACAGCAGCTGCCACCGGCTCGGGCGCGGCAGCACCAGCAGAGGCACTGAACACAACTAGTTTCCCGACGGTTATCCCTAAACACCACACGTTTCAATCCCACTGCGTGACTTCATTCCACACTGGCGGCATGGCTACTCGGGCGCATCCCCACGCGAGAAGACAGAACAAAAAACACGCGCGTGAGCCTGTAATTTTCTGCCCCCGAAGCGCCGGGCGCCCACCTGTCCCGACGAGTGCGCCCCCTCCTGGCTGGCTTCTCCTTGCTGTTGGACATGGCCTCCGTATCGGGGTTCCAGTAGATGAGGTCCTTCATCATCATCTTCGTACGGATCGGCATGTTGTCGCTGACCCGCTCCGAGATCTGCTCTAGGATTTCGCGGCTGTTGTTCTTCGGCCTCCTGGCATTTGACGGTGAACCTTTGTGAGTGCATGCGCGAACGGCACTAACACTGTTTCCACTTCAATGCAGCGGCTTCAAAGGGGATGACTAAAGAACTATGCATTATCCGTGGCGACCGAGCTGACTGTGTCGTCTCTGACAAGACGCGTTTTTCCAGCGGGACGGCAAGACAAGTCGTGCAATAGTAGGGAAGCTGCTCATATGACTAGGGGTGATTACCACGAACCGCATCATTTCTTTGTTGGCTAGCGCATTATTCACATTTTCAGCTATACAGAATAACTTGTTGGACGTCCATGCCTGTTTAAACCCGAAGATACTTTCCGCGGACGGAGACGAAATTTACTTTCTCGGACAGCCGGCAATAACCAGACTTGCGTTGGGTGTGGCCAACGCTAGTTCCATTTTGTTGTCAACTCGCCGTGAGCCGATCAGTAAAGGGGGCGAAGAATGCGCCAGGCCAGAGGACGTGCAGGTTTCTGCTGCCACCAGTGTGCGCTACTCCATTTTTCCTACAGAATGGTTACCTCCAACAGCCCGATCTGGCCTGCCCCACTACCCAACCCTGCCAACGAAACTGCACATACACATTGGGGGCGAAGACCGAAGCATTCCATCACTACCCACCAGTCTGTTGGCGTCACTGTGACACGTCAGGCCCCGGCCGCTCCAGTGCCGCCACCGATCACCCCCCCCCTCCCCCCCCGCTTTCCCGCATCACTCACCGTGTCGTGTTGAACCGCTTGCGCAGGCACAGGTCGACCTCAGTGAGTGCCAGCACCGGGTCGTCCGGGTCCAGCTCGGCGCTGTCCGCCTCCGCCTGGGACGGCGGTGGCGGTGGCGGTGGCGGTGGCGGCGACGACGGCACCGGCTGCGAGGGCGGCTGCGGGAGCGGCGGCGGCGGCGGCGGCGGCGGTGACGGCGGCGGCGGCGGCTGGCGGGCCGGCGGCGGGGAACGCTCCGGAGCTGGCACCGGCGCTTGCGGCGGCGATGGCGGCGTTTGCGGCGGCGGCGGCGGCGCCTCGGCCGCCGGGGCCTCTCCCTCCGGCACGGCGGGCTCGTCCGGCCACCGCGCCGAGTCCAGCCGCGGCCGCTTGGCCGGCGCCGGGCAGGCCACCTCCGCCTCCGCCGGGGGCGCGGACGGCGAGGCCGCTGCCTCTGGCGCCGCCGGCGGCCCGCTGCCGGTGCCAGACGGCTCGCGTTAGGTCGGGGTGGGCGGGGCGCCACGTTGTACAAGTCGGAAGGCAGGGACAAACTGTGCAGACGTAGCGAGTGGTTAGCGGGCGAAGGACTGGGTTAGTAGACAGCAGTGGTGGTGACGGGACTTCTTGCTGCTTGCTGATGTGCATCGTGGTCTGACGAACTGAACATTGGGAGATATATGATGGTTCCGACAAGACGACAGATCTGTCGTCGATTTGAATATAGTTCGCTCAGATAAACCTTCACGCCCTTATTAAAGAAACCCACGACTTCAATACACGCCAAGAGCTCAAAGAATCGCAGGTGTTAGGTAAGTCCGAACATATTCCTGTGAGTCAAAGTGCCTGACGGCCGCCAGGATCAATTTGCCGTCATTTTTGAGACGATAGCGTGTCTTGTCTCCCTTCAATACACTACAAACAAGCTGCGGCGGCCACTCATTTCGACCGAGTGCACCTGCCGATCACTTACGAGATAGGACCGGTCGCGGGCCGTACGTTTTCTCCAGTGCTGCCACCTGCCGGCTCTTTGGTGCTGCCCTCTTCACGGGCCGCCTCAGCAGTCCCGCGGCCCACGTCAAGGCGTGGCGCCAGACGTTTGAAGCGGGCCGGCAGCTGGGGACGCGGCTTTGCGGGCGGCGCGGCGGCGGGCGCGGCGGCAGCGGCCGGTGTCGCGTCTGGCTCGCGTGGCGCTGGCCGCGCCACCACGTTCGGCTGAAGCCGTAACCGTGGGCGCCGGAACACCATCTGAAACGGCGGGGAAGCTGAGCGCCCGTCGCGTGCTGACTCGGCCTTGGGCGTCGGTAGGGCTGGCTAGAGGGATGAACAAGGCTTTGCAAGTTTTGCCGTATCCAGGGCAAAACATTTACCAGCTGTTATCTATATGCCAGCAGAAATTGCGTGGTTGCATCTTGGGCTATTGCGTTATTGTAGTATACCACAATTAATAAGAATAACACCCAGCGATACAACTTTTTCATAAAAATGCCGTTCCCTGCAGACGCTGAAGCTCGATTCCATTTTTGTACGATCAAAGCTTGAAGGTACCGAAAGCAAACACTTTGGGTTTGTGGTTTACTTTGTGAGCATTCCTGTCGGTTGAAGATAGCATGTACAAGGTACAAGGTATAACACCTTGCAGCAAGCGTATCGTCCCCTTAAAATGTTTATAGATGAGGATTATGATTATAGGGGTGTGATGAAATTTGTCGCTCCCCGTGGGAAATGCCGAACAACCGGGCACCTGCCCCGCACCACTGCACCAAGACCGGCACGCGTCCCTTCCACAGGCGATAGCTGGAGCCACACCTGGCGCTCCCCATGTGCTTCCTGCGCCCGTGCCAGCCAGCGAACTTAACATGTTGTGTTCGAAAATCCCTGGTGCTTCAGACCTCTCCACACACTGCCGAACAATGACAGCATTTCGCTGAGATTGAAATTGACAAGTAATTGGAAGTCTCTTGTAATACGGCGACCTTACGTCAACTCCGTGGCAGCATAGCAAGCTGAGCTTTCGCAGCGATAGCCAAAATTGCAGACACGGGTAGTGTCGCTCAAATCTCTCAGTCTCCCACGCACTTGAAATATCATTGTCATGGGACGAACAGACCCGAAATATGACCTGTCCCCGCGCCGACCCATCAGCCGATGACCCCGCCCTAAACCGTAACAGTAATTTATCACGTATAAGCCTACCCCAGCACACTCCCCACCAGACATCCCTGACGATTCACCGCTCCACACCGCACCCATAAAACGTGCGAAATCGCGGCCCGGGACAGGCAGCGGTCATGCCCGGACCACATCCGGCGAATATTTGCCATGGCCATCGGGCGCTGCCGGTGGAGACCAGACACGGAGAAGGCCAGCGCGCTGGCGGCGAGGCAGTGGCGGACGGCGGACCGAACACAACCAGCGGCAGGAGCCGGCGGAGATGGTGTGAGCCGGGACCGATGCGAGCGGACTGCAGAATCGTCCAGAGGAGGGCGCGGCAGCAGCATCGTCACCGGCTCTCACCAGCTCACAAAGGATACTAGCACTAGCTGGACACTAGCGAACTTGCTGCCAAAACACACGCGGCTGTGGAGATCGGCATGAACCAGCCACCCAGACTACGCGTCACCAGGAGGCATCGTGGATGGTACCAGCCTCAAACAGCTATCACGTCGTTCTCATCCCACCGTAGTTCTGAAAAACGCGGTGTGCATCAACAGTGTATTGATCAGCAGACGAGTCAGCAAAAACCACGTGCTTCAATAACAGCACTCGAAGCGTCATCAACAGCGTAAGCGTAACAAAGGGATGGACGCATCGCAACGCGCAAATCTTGAACCCGTCAAAACCCCGAACCAAATCAAACTCAAATGAATGTCAAGTAGGGGAAGACGTTTGTGGCGACACCGGCCGCACCACAGCGGCACGCAAGGCACACCACAATCTCGCTGGTTAAATCTCACGAGTGAATACACAGAGCCAAACATGTTCATGTTTATGCGCCTCAAGACAGCCGTTGGACACATGATCCTAATTATCGCGCTTGGCGCGCCCTGAACTGAAGGTGACTAGCAGAGGTTGCCAGGTACACGGTCGTGATAATGTAATCTAATCACGCTGCTGGTGTCGGTACACGAAATCGGTGGAATCGGTGGAAAGCCCACCACCAGATGTGGCGGTGGGTTATGAATAACGACGGGGAACGCCATAACGCTCCTGGCGTCGGTAAACGAGATCGGTGGAATCGGCGGAAAGCCCGAACCGTGAATGACAACCGATGTGTCGGCGACAGTTCCCGGATCGTTCAGACACAGCAGTGTCGGCGACAGTTCCGGAGCACTCGCACGCAGCAGTGTGGCGACAGTTCCAAGTTACTCGGACACGGCAGTGTCGGCGACGGTTCTGAAGTTACATGCCAGCGGCTTTTAATAAATCATGCTTGACATTGTCTTGCTTACATTTGTGGGCTTCGTGGACTGAAGGCTTAGTCCTAACGCCATTCTTCCAGTGGTTGTCTCCATCGCGCGGTGAATACTGGTCCCGGTATTACATTTACAAGAACTGCTGGTCTTTCGGAGTATTTTGTGCGACGTTTGGACCATACGTACCCAGGGGGACATGGTACGTTACTTCCGCGTGTGCCCAAGTGCTGCATCATCACATATCCACGCAGTGTGAGCGGCCGAGGCCATCCGGCAGAGGGCCGTCCGTCGGCTCCTGACCCGGTCGCGCGGCCCCGCTGCTCAGTTCTGGAAGCGGCCCAGAGCCAGCTCATGCTCCAGCTCCTCCGCCGAGCGCGGCCCGTCAGCCAGCCGGCCGGCGGCGAACATGACTGCCTCGGGAAGCATCACCTCGCTGGCGTAACGGCGCCGCTCGTTGGGTGGCGCCGCCGGCAGCGCCTCCACCACCTTGTCCATCTCCAGCAGCGCCGCCTTCATCAACTCCGGCCACGAGCTCAGGTCGCTGCAGCCGCTGGCGAGCAGCAGGCGGCGCCACTCGCCGCGCCTGAACGCCTCGCGCCGCCAGCACGGCACCGCGCCCGCATGCGCCGCGGCCAGACGGTCGCGGCACGGCTGGCTCTGGATCTGCTCCAGCAGGCGGCCAACGTACTCCTGCTGCTCGGCACGCTGGCGGTCGCTCAGCGGCGGTCCCGACGGCAGCGCTTTGCATACGCCCTCGGCGTCCTCCTCCTCCTCGTCGTCGTCCTCCTGATCCTCGTCCTCGTCGTCCTCCTCCTCGTCATCATGCCGGAACGCTCCGGCGACACGCCAGGGAGGTACCGGCGACCCCGGTGGCGGCGCCGGACCGCCCTTCTTTATCGGCGACACCGAGTTGGCGCGCAATCGCGTAATATAATCGCACTTGAACTTGAAAAACTCCTCCGGCTGGTCCGCCTCGGAGCTCACCAGGAACGCCTCAGCCGCCTCGACGGTAACCCGCACCTGCTCGCGAATGTACGGTTTTGCAGGGGCGCTCAGCTGACGCTGCTTCTCTTGGTACGTGAAGGCCCTGAGCTGCTTGCTCTGCGCCCTGAACACGCGCGCGTCTTTCTGCGTCACCAGATCGTATATGAATTTGTATGACACCCTCTTGCGAGCGACGCGCGTCACAAGCACCGGAAAGAACCCGGCGCCGTACTTGGCCCAGGCCAGGTCGCCGGCGACCAGCGGCCGGTCGTCGCCTGCGCCAACGCTGACGCCCGACAGCAGCGCCGGGTCGTCCCAGGAGGGGGACGAGGCGAGCGCCGGCCGGGCGCCGTCCGTCTCGCCCTCGCGCTCGGCCGGCGGCGCGCGCGTGCGCGGCGGGCACGGCGCCGCCTCGCCGCCGCCTTCTGCGGCCGAGCCGCCGTCTGGCTGACCGCCGACGCGGCCGGGCGGCTCCAGCCATGGCAGCTCGGGGCTCACAGTCCGGCGAGGCGACGGGCGTGGCCGCGACAGCTTCGTGCGTCTTGGCATCCTGCGAACGACGAGAACAGCTAAAACCGGCGACGGCTGCGACCGGCGCTGCGAACGATGGAAACGGCCTATGCCATCGACGGCGGCGACCGGCGACTGAGTTCGATCCGACGGGGCGCAACAGCGACCGCTCAGTAGAACGCGCGCGCGCAACTGATGGAGCCGCGTCAATGTCCGCTCCGAATGACAGACGCTGCGCAAGCCTGGGACGCACCGCGCCACAGGCTGACAGGACACGAGCCAGCGTGCGAACCAGCTGAAAACGATCCCCCCTGCCGAACACCAGGCATGAAATATCACTCCGCCACATAACACGTTCGGCACATAAGTTGCAAGCTGGCTGTCAACTGGCTACCGACAGAGGACCTAAGCACGGGAGGGTCTCTCAACAGACTTTCAATAGATTTCTCCCTCGTAAACTGACTTCAGCCCACCATTGGGTTGTGGACAAATACTTCATTCCATGGCACTGGAGAGGCCAGACGAGCATATCGTGATATCTGTCATTGCTGCATTGCTAAGTTACCCACCCACACCAGGATTACAAGACAGTGCGTTTGGAGCATTATAATTACAGCGTCGCACCCCATAACAGAAAAATTATGTCCATTGGCAGGTCAAGCATCATCTATACCAAGGGAAGATGTGATCCACCAATTTTTGGCACCAGATAAAATAACATTGATGCCTCACATGCATGCAAAAATGCAAGCTGGGAAAGTTCAAGATAATATATGAAGGAGTAAGCCTGTTGTTGCCCCACATCACTGATACTTAAAAATAAACTGCATACTTGCATGCAAAAATTATAATAACTATACTTTAAAAATCTGATAAGCCACACAATTTTCTCTCAGTGCAAACTTAACTTTTTCATTGGATGCTTTTGTTTTGTACCTTACATTTTTCACTGTTTGCTTTCTGCAACCCAAAAGGTGATATAAGCCATGACCTAAAATAGCGTATATCTCAAACCAATGGTGATTTTTCACCCTCATAAAACAATGGTTTCCATTTTTGCTGGGAAAAATGCATCCCTGAGTGGGTTAAACATCTCCTGCCACTTGTGAACACTTATCATTGTGGTCGGCAGAATGACAGCTAATTATTTATGTCCCATGACTCTGGTATTTCACAGATGAAAATCATACCATTTGCGGAAGCCACATCCACTCAGGGGTGGCCAGTGTGCACAGCAGGCCATGCCATCATGGCATCAAGACCATTACAGCATTCAGTGCACAACGTTTGTAGACCAATTGTGTAAAAACAGGGTGTCATTTGGATGCATGGATGAACATAGCTGTGAACCATGACCAATAGAATGTAAGCACAACATCAGGGCCAATGAAAGTTCTCCAAATTTGTGCAGAGCAATAACAATTTTTAATTTTTTGCCAGTTAGCACCCATAAAGTCAATGCTAAATCTCCAAAACTATGGTGCTCAGCCCCTCTTCACACCTGACTTCACAAGTCCCTCAATGAACTCAAAACCACATTCCATTGTGTGTACTTTCAGACCTTTTAACCCCCTGCTCCAGGCGCAGTTTCCTTACTAAACCCTATGATAAACATGAATCATCACATTCTGAGCTTTTCAGCACCATGATATAGCAACACTCTATGGCCTGTGCCAACACCAGTAGCCCACAAAGTAGGAGTGTAGCATATGTAGGAGTTACAGCACAACACATGTAGGAGTCTTGCATGTATACATAATGTTTTTTATGCCCTACATATTTCAGGTGCAACATCAGAGTTCCAGCTAGCTTCATGTAACTTCATCTGAAGCAGGCTACTGACATAAAATGCCACCATGACAAGGAAGCAAAATCACACAATGCTTGCTATTGCCTGCCACTACAAGTGGTTTGGGAAAGCCAAGTACAGAATCTTTGCTACACTCCGGCACTTCCTTTAAAATGTGGTCTGAGCACATTTAGATCATTAAGCATGTGTGATCAGGATTTATACCAAGCAAATTATGTTGTGAAAGCCCTGAGCCCCAACATCCAATCCTGAAATCCCCATCCACCGGCGGAATTTTGTCACTAAAAAGCTATATGGCATTGTGGCAGAAAACACAGGCGCCACATCAAACTGGATGTGGTGCCTGTGATGTACATTTGGATTCTAAGCTGGGTAATGCAGCCACTGTGCAACAGGCACCCCTGCACGTGCTTGTGTTTAATTTCTGGAATCCCTTGGTGTACATGAATTAGATGTGACTTTATTTAAAACTGTTTGCCTGGAATGACTTATCACTGTAGGAACAGCAGTAAACAAGTTAATCCCTTTTTACTGTAAATCAGAGTGGTAGAAGCTTAATGTGAACATCACCTATTTCATTGCATATAACCAGCATTTTAAGAAATTTTGACATCATATGAATCATTTGCTGCAAAAAATAGATCATTACATATATCTAAAAAAAAACAATCAAAACCTCAGCACAGCTTGGGTTGGCCCACATTCAGGGCACACAAGTACAAAAAATGTGGCAGAGATGTTGCATGGGTGTTCAGTCACATGTTTTTTCAAGACTGGTGTTACATCCTATGACCATGAATGCCTGTGCCTTTGCAGTTCCTACATGGAATCACTAAATGATGGTACTGACCATTGATTGGTAGGGAAATCAGCTGAGCATGGGGCAGAGCCCCCCCCCCCCCCCCTCACCCAATGCACTCTCTCACACAAACAGGTTATGTACAGTAAAATTTAGGTTAAATCCCAGGGACCAGTCGGCCATACTAGGTTGTTGATGTCATTTGCTATTGGCACTACCTGGGGGTGGTTGGTGGTATTTTTACCACACTCCCTCTGTTGTGCATAGTGCATGGCATCACCTCAATGCTGCTGTCCAAAGGTAAAACTCCATGTGTTCACTTCTGGCCATTTTGCATTTTTTTGTCACATGACTTGTCTACTCCTGCTGAATTCAGATACTTCAGCCAATTGATCAAGTTTTCACAACTGCTTTGCTAAAACAAGGGCCTGGAGTTTGTGAAACCTTCCACTGATTGACTAACTAACTGAATTTAGCATGGGTAGATGAATCAGATGACATAGATGCCAACCAACCAAAAATCAACATATGAGGTTTTACCTTTGGATGACAAAATGGTACCTGGTCAGTTTGTGTGCAGCATGTATAAAAATCAATCGTGCTGTGATTACCACAATACAAATTGTGAGAATAAGGCAACACATGATGAACAGGACGAAGCACAGTTCATCAAAAACACTGAGTGACGATTCTTGTAGATTTCGCCCATCAGCTTACATTGCCAACAGGGTCATCTAAATTATATCCTTTATACATAATAGCAACATCCGTCCCAATCTCAGCATGACTACGTATCTCGGAACTCCGCAACCGCGTCCCCGCAACAAATCACAGCTGTTCGATCAGTACAGAAAAGTACAGATGTCTACAGACTGACAGTACCTTCTTCCGTACCTTTCACAGAAGCTTAGTCGCTGCTTTGTAGGCCCTCACACGCAATTCCAGCCGCGCTCAATCCGAATCAAACTTCACCACAAGGCGCGCCCGCGGCGCCATCCCCACACCGCCGCACCTCACAACCCCTCCGCCGCATTCGTTGCACAATGATGGGTGATACGGGAGCGGACCTTGCACGTAAGAGCAGGCCAGCGCCACCATCGCAACCGAACAGCACCAGAGATGTGGCCGCTAAATTATTAAGTTCAATGAAGAACAACAGTACTCGGAAGGCCTCGATTGTGGCAATTTCACGACAAACATGGAGCTTCTCATGTTTTTCCAACCAGATACGGTGACCACCTCGTCTTCTAGCATACCACACATCATGCGATATATCTAAATTATTGAGTCAACTAGGTTACATTTTTAAAGCAGAGATGATGGTTTCCAAAGAACAGAACAATTCTATTCCGTCATTCCAGGATTTCGGAAATATAATACGACAGCACTATTACCCTTGTTTAAATTGCAAGCATGACCGGCAAAATGTTAGCGTTTTAAATAATGTGCAATGCTCTCGTGTAAGGTATGACGAAGGCCCCACGGGGATGACCACAATCGTCCACTAGCAATAAAAATCCTTCATCGTCAGCCATAGATTACCGAACAGAGGACTGGGTAAGTAAGACGTCACTTGCGTTATCGCTCAGCACCAAACTCATTACTACGGAACTGGAACAAAACCTAAGACAACGCTTACAGGGGAATGCACAGCCGATCTGGTAAAATGCGTCAGGGAATTTACAGCTGCTCGTCTATTAGCTCGCTTCCCCTCCCCACGCCTCCGTCGCCACGTTCGCCTACATGGGAAGTGGTTGAAAAATGATTACGAAGATATCTTTTAAAAAAATCAAAACTTTTCATAAAATAAAACCTACATTCTAAAACTCAAGCGAGCTGTTCCGCTATTATGGAATTACAGCTATGAGATAGATCAAAGTAAACTCCAGGGAGTATCTCTCAGTGCACCATTTGGCCAACACCCTATTTCTTTTACTTGCTCCTACTACTTCACCTCTACCCACAATGCATTTCCATCAGGCCTGTACGAAGGTGGGGTATTTTTCTAGCATGGCGTGAGGTGGCTGGTGAGGGGCGCGCTGTGGTGTTTCGTGTTGCCTGGTGAACTTATGGCTTCGGCAAAGACAGTGGCAAGTTTGAAAAATCGACAGTGTGTCAAGGATTACATTTTGACCGCCATTGACCAGCTGAAGCAGCGCAAAGCTCGTCCAGATCGGTACCGCATTGCCTATGTTCTCAGCAAGCAATTCGGAGTGGATGTTGAAGCTGCTAACGACACATTGGAGCAAATGACAGATGAACACAAGATTGTTCGGGTGGACTACAAGGGTTCTGTGAGCTACAGAGACATCAGAAACTGGATACGCGTCAACGATAATATTCAAGGGATATCCATGTACGGAGGTGCCTTTATCCTGAATTCTGATCGGGCTAGTGCTGCCATCCACGAAGCGGTCAAATCGTTAGCACTTGATAAAAATGCAAGGACAGTGACCTTGGCCGAGGTGGAAAAATACTTCAAAGACAAGGCACATAATCAATACACCACCGCGCCTTTGGCCGTCGCGCTTCAACGTGAAGTGAACGCCGGGCACCTGCTGAAAGCGGGCGTCAATGTTTTCGCTCTCCAGACATCGAAAAAACAAAAACAGGAGATGATGGTAAACCGGACAGAATCACCTACATCAGAGGGGACTTCAGATGGAAACGATGCCATCAATGACAACGGAAAAAGAGTAAAGGTACGTCGTGTCCCAGTTTTGGTTTCATGCGCGCATGGTAACAATATTACCATTCCGATCTCCCCATTCCTAGGGCCTAGATTCAAGCGCAAAGTTCGTCTTTGCATGTTCCCAAGCACCAAAAACACATATGTGATGGCATGTTGTGGATTACGCCCTGCAATGCTTCCGTCCTGACTGTATAGATGTGTGTCCCCGGTGTTTCAGGGCCTTCCCGTGTCATTGTATTTGATCGGGTTTCTTTAAGCTTGGCGTGAGTTAGCACCGATTGGGTGGCGAATAAGGTCAGCTCCGTGTAACTTTCTACATGCTGGAATGCGGATCACACGCGCTACGCTTATGTTTTCAAATCGTCAGCAAATAACGTGCGCTTACTGTTCGCTGTTTCGCATCGGGCAAGAACCAGAGATAAAACAACCGTAGGTACAGGGTACAAGGAAATGCTACGAACAGACGACTTGCGCCGCATTCGCTTAAACGCACCGCTGCCAAATTAACGTGTGTAGGCACAGGAGTTCAGTTATTGGGGAAGGTAAAGAGGTTCAACGCAGGCGCGTGCCCCCAGCGGCACGGATTCTAGTGAGGCCTGGGAGTGAGGGTGGCGGGGGCGTTGGATTTTAAAATTTAGCGTTGGCCATATATGTGTACGTTGCCATAAAAACCCTAGCCTCAAATGTCAGTTGAGAGTACCTGTTACACCCATTGGGGAATACTGGACAATGCGGGTCCATGTCGGTCAGACCAGCAACAACGGGCGGTCTATTCCCTGTCTGTTTGAACCTTGGAACAGTCTTTTGCAATTAAAGCCGTACCAAAAATTACAAGTAGGCTTGGGACCGGCGTATATTTCACATTTATAATTTTGAGCTTGTCCTCCGAACAGATAGGCAGTTGCAGCAACACGAAAGTGTAGATCCTACCTTCACTCAGCTCGACCACCACATTTCAGCACCAGTTCGCGATGCTGTAAATGCTAATCCTTTCCTATCATCAATATACAAATCGCAAAGGCGAAGAACATGCTCGGGCTGCCTTCCAAATGTACGAATTGGTGCTCTTAAGGCACTCAAAGGTACTGAGTTCAGATGCATCATAGTTTTCGTACGCCCCCTAGCCGTCGCCCGATATTAGCCACAGAGCAGACTCCACGCGGCTGGGGAGACTGCAACGCCGGGTTTAGGCGTTTTGTTTGTTTCAAGACTTGCAAGCGCGCAGGTTAAAACGAATGTTACAACATTTTCCTCCATAATTGATGATAACAGAAGGTTGAAAGGAACCCAGGCGAATATATCACAAAGTCTTAGAGTCCTATCTGTTATTTCACTCAACCATTGTACAGTGAATAGCGCCGGTAGATTATTCCATGCAGTTTTTAATGGCTGCTTGCTGTAGTCCGTTGACTTCAAAATGCAAGTAGTATGGTATCTTCCGGCAGCTTATGACTTCTTTTAAAGTTAACGAAGGGAACGCAGAACAAAACAATAAAAATCGCGCCCCCTGTAAACCCAATGGGCCCTATCTGGTTATCTCGTTGGAGAGGGGGCCCTTTCACCATCGCGAAACCCCTTGTGAGCCATATGCCCTCCCCTCCCCCTACCAGACCTTGTGCTCCTGCTTTCTGGGCTTTATTTTCGCGTATACTCGAAAACAATGTCCGTATACATTAACATAAGGGACTGAGATAACCAAATGCTACTATTTTGGGCGTTCATTTTCCGTTTTCAGCACCGAAAAATTTTCACCTCTGGCTCCATCCAGGTTATCTTTTTGCGCGTCGTACTACGGGCAGAATATTATCGACCCGCAGCAATGCGGGCGTACAGGTAGTCGTAGTGATAAATCTAGGGTACAACTTTTTGCACGTCAGAACATTAAAACAGTTGGCGGGAGATATGTATGATCATTAGAACATTGGTACTCAGCTAAGAAGTGACGTCATCGGATGTCAGTTTGCCATTGCGTATGGCCCGAAGACTTTCGCGAAATGCTGGACTGCTGTGCGAGTGCATCATTAAAATATTGTTTCTAATCTCTCGCACTATGTCCATGAGTTGGGAACAGCCTGTCTGATTCCTACAGAACAGTACTGAAGGCAGCGTTTCCATTAGTAATCCATTTGGTTTTATTAGCAATCCGGTTCAGTCCGGTTGGCACGAGTGGTTTTGGGTTTGGAGCACTTGTTGAGCAAAACTAGCCACGCACACTTCGTGCGGAGGGTTAGCCTTACAACGTGGTGCCGCCGGCCCGAGTCTTGGTTGATCCTCGCTGGCTAGCTGCCAGCTGACCTGCCCATCATACGCCAGCTCTGGGACTGGTACAACTGTAAAATGCTCTAAGGCTGTGAAACGGACATGTGACACAACATGGGTGCAGAATGCCTACTTCATGGAAGCGAAACCTTCAAATGATGCAGAAGAGGCCTTTCGGGACGGAGAATTGGCGCATTTTCTGCCATCGCTGTGGTCTTGAGCAGAGTGAGGGACGAAAAACGTGTGACATGAAGATGCACTCATGCTGTTGCAGATGAAGAGAAATGTTGGTGAGAAACAGGGTTACTAAGATAACGTCCCTGGATATTAACACGCGACCGGGTGGCTGGTTGGATGCCCTTGGCTCGGGTGGGGTGGATGTCAATTTGACCCCCCTGAGATTTCAGGAACTGAGAGAGCTACAGACACCAAGTTCACAGGGTGTGTTAACCTGTACGTGAACTCTCAGGTCAAATTTTTGGCCTCCTAGGTCATGACCTTCGGGTGAAAAATGTAAGACAAGGTCAAACTCCAAGTTGGTCTCCAAAGTGTCCCCAGAACCTACAAACTTGTTGGAAGAAAAGGTCACAATCATTCGAGGTCAGTGACCTTGTTTAACCTTCAGGTCATGGTGACCAAAATCATGGAAGACCGCCTTGAGTTTTGGATTTGAATGAACGAGAAATATTAAGCTAGGCAGTTTGTTCCTAAACACGAAATGATGACTTGGGTCATTTTAGGTCAGCAGCCTTTTCTGACCTACAAGAAATCCATGGGAGATACCAAATGCGGTTCATGTTATCACTAAATTATAAACGAGCACCAGAAACTACCCTAAACAGCGAGCCCTAGAGAAGGACAGCAGGTTAATTTTGGCCCTGGTCTGACCTTCATATCTGACCCTAGGTCAATGAAATCAGGCCATTCAATTGTTGCGTTGCCTAAGAAAGCATCTCAGAGATGTATGGCTTCGTCTAACTTTCCGTTGTTCCATCAGATTAAATGATTTCCTTGAAATTGACTACGCTGAATCGATGGTCTGACTGTAACCTGCCGTAGGTCTGCGATTTACAAGGCACATCCCATCTTTTATACCGCGCGATCCACTATCCAATTTTTTACAGTGGTACAAAATGGGACTTGGTGAGATGGACAGGGTTCTTGACAGAAAATGAGCACCCTTTCAAAAATGAGTGCCCGTTTTCTAAAGAGTGAGCCACGCGGGATGAAAGACTCATTGAGCACCCTCTTCACAATAGCGATATCGCTATGGTATCGATCGTATCTCGCCGGGGAACATTGCCACTCCTCTTTTAAGTAACACCCCTATGATCTTGAGAATCCCGAGGTGAAAATTGACGTCTGTCGTAGGGATGAATTGGTTTCCGAAATAAAAACACCGGTATAGAGTTCTCCGCTGCGGAAAAGTTTGTGCCAGAGGAATTCTAATATCGCAATTGCATGGCGTGACACGTCCGAGCACTCCCGCTCTTACGAATGAGGCTGCCGTTCGCGGAAGCCATTCTTGAGCTATGGTGAAATGGCCGTACTTGTTTGAGATCATCATGAATACGGGGCCAGATCTCGGTGCGGCATTGTAGTAGCACGAGACCAACTAATTCAGGCAGGGAGGAAACGGGCGACCGAATTAGCAAAGACGTGACTCCATTTTCGGATTCGGTCATGCGCTAATACGCTGTAACCATGAATCCGCCCGCTTTTGGACGTTCTTAAGGACCGCTATCGACAACCAGAGCAGATAAAACGTATAGCGAACCACACGGTGTATGCTGCTGTACCGTCTGTAAATCACTAAGCGATGTCGGCGCTGCCTGACCGTAGGTGTGTTCGGGGCCAACAGCAAAGCGCTCGGTGCCGTGAAAACCAGCCCGAGAAACACGTGCACTGAGGTCTAAACCGAAAAGGAGTGGGGCATGAAACAGTGTGTTTAAAGAGTGCCACGCAGAGAGCCGAACTGATGCCCGCAGATACCCACCCAAGGTATGTGCGTGTCGGCAGTACTTACCGTTGGTCACAGTCGCCGAGAACGTCAGCTATGCAAAATTCCTCAGTTTCGTCAATTGAAATTGCTGCGTCTTGCGAGTCCGAGTCTTGCAGGACAAACTCCGCTGACAGGCGATAGTTCTCGTGCTACGGTGACTCGGGGTGTCTTGCGAGGCCGAGTCTTGCAGGACAAACTCCACTGACAGGCGATAGTTCTCGTGCTGCGGTGGCTCGGGGTGCCTTGCGGGTCCGAGTGTTGCAGGACAAACTCTGCTGCCAGGCGATAGTTCTCGTGCTACGGTGGCTCGGGAGACCGAAGGCGATATGACCGGCTGCTCCCATGACAGTGAGCCTGTTCTCGAGCCTGACCAGTGCCTTGTAGGTCTGGCTGCTGTTAACGATGTCTTGTTAGGATTCTCGGCCTGGACCCAGCACAGGTGATCCCTGGTCGTGCTGTTCTGGTGGCCTCCCAAAGGCGCATGGGATTTGGCACGCCGCGTGCCTGCAGCATAACGGTGAACAGCTGCCTGAGCTGTCTTGGTGTTTGGTGCCTGCTGCCTTCCCCAGTGTCTTGGTGTTTGGTGACTGCTACCTTCTCCAGTGTCTTGGTGTTTGGTGGCTGCTGCCTTCTCCAGTGTCTTGGTGTTTGGTGACTGCTGCCTTCTCCAGTGCAGCAAAACGAGGTCCTCCATTGGCATTTGGGCCTTTGACGATGTGGAGGATGAGGCGCGGGTGAAGGTAGTCCTGCTAGTTCGCGTGCACGCGTACATCCATCCTCTCGATTACATCACCATTGGTGTAGTGATATGTCCGGATGTGATGCGGGCGGCCCGGGTTGATGGCGATGTGTCCTGTAAGTAACATGTATAAACACAGGACACAAATGTGCTGTCACGGATAAGCAGTTCCTCAGGAATCTCTTTTTGGAAACATAACCCAATTCGTTGATTTCACTGGTCGTTTCTCATTTTTGCTTTATCCGTCTCTACTCAACTGACAAATTCGCAATAACATAAAACATATGTTGACTTGAGACTCATTTAAATAAAAGACGCAATACATACCAAAATAACGTGACAAAATTACGGATTATAGTCCTTTGCCGAACGCCTAATGATCCGTGACCGGTTCGTTGTTTTACAGAAATGTCAGTCAGCATTTCAGCGTGCGTTCAGTCCCCCAACGGAGCATTGCTGTCTAAAATATGCGGGTCTTTTTTGATATAGTCAATTTTTTGTAGGTAAATAAGCCTCGAGTCATCGTGTCTTGTATATGACCACCAACCGACTCAAACAAGGACTAAAACTCGTTTGCAATGCATCAGCACGCGGCGGTCTACGCTATCTGCTTCTTTAATAGATTTCAACTGATACGAAACTCGGACAGGAAATGAGCTATTCCGTAACAAGTGGCCCTCGCAAATTGCCGTTCCTTCACGTACGCCATGAGTGACACTAGGTAGCCTGATTCATGTGCTTTTCCACGACATTGATCGCGCGTTGTTGCTACCGCGGGGCCTGGAATAACGGAGACGCAATGCCGCCATGTCCTTCACACCGAATCACGTTAACTAATGCAAACACAAGCTGATGGGGCGCAAGCTGTGGAACGTTTCGTCCGGGCTGACGAACCACGTCGGCTCGGCGGTTTGCGTTATCTGAGTTGCTCCCCTCTCTCCCCCCCCCCCCCCCCGCCCCATCAGTTGGTCCCGCACGTCCGCAGCGATCCGACGCTAATGACGCGCACGTGCTGAAGCTGAGTCCTTGCAGACTTCTTCGCTGTGATGTCGTACTGGTTGAAACACTTGGGACCTGATATCTGCGATTTTTGTTTCCGAAGGCCGCAGCTCCCCGAAATTCGCAAAAAAATGACGCGAATCTAAGTTGAGTCGTGATTCTCCCCCAATCGTCCGTTGACCGTGGTTGGCCCGGGATCTTCTCCGCAAATCATCCGTTGTTTGACCCTCATAGCCCGTGGATTGTCTCGACACCATGTGATATCGATCAATATTGGGGGCGTGCGGTCGGGTACCATCGACTGTTTCCAGCTAGCCCACCGCTGGCCGCTGCTCGGGCTCCCTGTTGAAACTGCACCGGTCTCCGAAAATGCCCCAATTGACGGGTCTGTTTTCGTTTTCCCGCAGAAAACCAAGGTGATCTTCGACCCGAGCGAGACGCGCCCGACGCAAACCGACCAGCCGGCGGCCAAGCGAGCAAAGAAGATGGTGATGAGCGCTCTTAGCTCGTCCGCTGCCGCCGCCGTCGCTGCTGCCCCTGCCGCGGCCACCGCCGCCGCCACTGCAACCTCCACGTCCACCGTCACCGCTACCGCCTCCACGACCGCCCCGGCCAGGCGTGTGTGCAACTTCTGTCACAAGCAGACCAAACATGAGGTGGTGCTGGTGTGTCGTCAGTGCCAGACGCCAGGTGAGTGGGATGTCAACCTTACCCCAATGGCAGGTGGGTTGTTAACCTGACCCCATAGATCTGTGGTTGGTGGGCTGCGATTTGACCTGAAGTTTGGTCAAGGCCATTTACCGATTTTGAAGTGGCTGACTGGCGACCTGAGCTCAGGTCAGCAGGCTAGTGACCTGATCCAAAGCTAAAGGGGTAATTCAAGATGAGTGGCGCGATGATGTCACTCGAGGTCGGCGGCGCTCTGGTATGGGTCGCTCTGCTGCCGCCGCGGCCCGCCCTCTGCCACCTTAACAGCCGAGATTTGAAGCAGCGACAGAGCTGACTGCTGTGTATTACATGGTGCTGTGTGCGGGCGGCTCTGTGTCAGACACTGTGTCAGCTCAACCGGAGCTGGCGGCGCGGCTGCGCCGGCGGTGCTGCCCGACGGATTTGCGATCGGAAAGCCCCGTGCTCTATCCTCGACATGGTTAGCCTCCGCTGACTTGTTTCTAAGGGCCATGACGGTGGCCGAACAGAAGCGGTTGCTATTCTTGCTCTAGAAACAAAACCCACGTGACGCCGCACTATTGGATCTCCTACCGGGAGTTCCATGTAGGGTACCTGAACCGCAGTACTGATTTTCTCGATTGGGTACTGCCATAGGACGAATGAGGGTCGTGTCCTCCTGCTCGTCCATCGTCCGATCGCAGCGGGTCGTGTTTTTAGTCACTGACTCAGTACCGGTCTGTGCTCACCTTGTGCTTGTGCTCTCCAGCGCACCCGAGCTGCTTGGGATACAGCAGACGCCTGGCCAAGGTCGTGCAAAATCACCCGTGGACATGCATGGACTGCAAGACCTGCAAGCTCTGCCGGGACGTGGGTGGGGTGAGTGTGCGACGAAGGGGCCCCGTCATATGTGCCGGACCAGAGACGCCCATAGCTCTCCAATCCGTTCCTGTTGGCGATGCTCTTGTGCATTGTGATGTTGCGTTTTTGTCAGTTGGTGCAGCTGCTAGGCGCCATATGACCAGGATAATCAGCGTGATAAATTCGCCATCATCATTATCAGTGCACCTGCGAGTGACATTACCATACATACCAGCATTACTATTCGCATTATTTTGGTGTCATGGACGGCAAACTGAAACATGGAGATGCATTGACATCCCGACTAAATAGTACATCAATAGGTGCAAGGTACTACGAACAGTAATTTCAAACCTACGGGCCTAGCCAGCTGGATTTTTTTTAGACAGCGAGTCATAGTTTTGACAGGCTACCAGTATTCCGGGAATGATATAGATAGCTCCGACTCATTGTTTCTGTGAATGCTTTTCTGTAAACCCGTGGCTGCAGACACGATTTTAATTAAACACGCATCACGCACCGAGGCACTGATCGTATTCGCTAGATCAGCCATGGTAATCTTTGCACGTTGAGGCCCAGTCGCCGACTTCTTATAAGAGCAGATTCAGTAATTTTCCTTGTTGGTCCTGTGCTCTTAATATTAAAGAGTTCTAGAAGGTTCTGTACCCGCCTGTATTCCAGCCTTCAAGTGTTGGTCAAGAAAAATGGTCTCCGAAAGGGGACTTTTCTGTCCGGTTGCTCGCGTCACGCACGTGCTCAGTAAAGCTCAGACGAACAGGGTATTTGGACTTCCCCGACATAGGCTTTGTTCATTCCATGCATTTTCGCACAGCTCACACCTAATTTTTAAACCAGATGCGGATGCGTGCTATCCCCGTGATAACCAGACACCATGAACACGATATTTTTGAGCGTCGTACCATTCCACAGATCTCTGCGTATGCGCAGTTTGATTTTCTGACGATGTGTAAGACCTCCCAAAGCATACGCAAACGCTTAACTTTCAAAGGCAAATTGATAGCGCGAGAAGTTGTAACGGCAGCGACGTTTGCCATTACAGGTTTCCGTAAAAGGACACGACTTCCGTCAACAGGAAGCCGCGACCTTGTCAATCGTCACTCATTTTGATCACTATGTTCGGCCAAAAGATACATTGAATACACAGTTTCTTAGGCGTCGGGATTCACGGGGCTGAAATTAAACTTACTTGCATATTCTCTTCGCATGAGACAAAGCAAAATGTGCTTAGCATTCGCAAACGAAGTTTCTCGGAGGAGACATGACACCGTACCCGGGACCTGTGCTGCCTTGCCTTGCCGTGTTGCGATGTCGTGGGCACTCCTCTTCTTATGAAAGACTACTGACACGCCGCCGCCGCCTGGCCGCAGCATTCGCGCACCCTGTGTGCTCTGCACGTCCAGCACCCCGTACCCCGCCCACTGTGTATGCTCTGCACGTCCAGCACCCCGTACCCCGCCCACTGTATATGCTCTGCACGTCCAGCACCCCGTACCCCGCCCACTGTGTGTGCTCTGCACGTCCAGCACCCCGTACCCCGCCCACTGTGTGTGCTCTGCACGTCCAGCACCCCGTACCCCGCCCACTGTGTGTGCTCTGCACGTCCAGCACCCCGTACCCCGCCCACCGTGTGCGCTCTGCACGTCCAGCACCCCGTACCCCGCCCACTGTGTGTGCTTCGCACGTCCAGCACTCCGCACACCGTGTGCGCTCTGCACGACCAACACCCCGCCCACTGTGTGCGCTCTGCACGGCCAGTGTTCCGTTCACCCCGCACACCCCGTCGTTAGAGTGTCCCGCGCAGGCGGCCCAGCTCACCGGCGTCTGCCGCAGGAGCTGATATTCTGCGACAAGTGCGACGAGGCGTACCACATGGTGTGCCACCGGCCGGTGGTGCGGCGAAAGCCGGTCGGCGAGTGGATGTGTCTGCAGTGTCGCGGTGGCAAGCCCGGTCCCGGCCGGCCCGCCAAGCTAGGTGAGGCCGCGCGACGCTGCGGCTCGGGCGACGAGAGGGAGCACGTGGAGCCGTGGATGCTGTTTGAGAGTGGAAGCGGACCAGCTCACCAGAGCTAGTTTAGAGCGGTTCTGGAGCGGTTTTGGACGGTTTTAGAGCGCTCTTGGGGTGGGGTGTGTGTGGGGGGGCCGGAGTGGGAGGGGGTAGGCGTGCACCGAGGAACGTCTGGCCACCTTCCGGCAGGCCTTTTGCCAAGGCGAGGCTGGTGACGGTTGTGATAAGTGCCAGCTTTGTGTCTCTCTTTCTCTGAGGGACCTGGAGTGCGGAAAGGTCGTGTGGAACTTGCGACGGATCGATGGTCAGCCGCGACAGGTCGAAGGTCAGCCCGTTGTGATAACCAGGAAAAGTTAGGATTGGTAATCCGTGATGTACTGAAACAGGTCTCGCTGCCCGTTAAAACGCCATCAGCAAGCGTTGGCATCTGGTGCGTGCGCACAGCGAGATGTCAGCACGTCACCGTCGGCACTTGACCTCAACCTTGACTTGACCCCTTGACTTCAGCTTGGAAGCCACAATCGCCGCCTGCCCGTGAGCTGCTGGCGAAGCCGGCGGCGGTGGCGGCGTCGCAACCGAAGGTAGCGCAGAAAACCGCGCCGAAGCCAGCACTAAAGTTGGCTCAAAAGCCGGCGCCGAAATCGGTGCAGAAGCCGGCGCAGAAGCCGGTGCAGAAGCCGGCGCAAAAACCGCCGCCGAAGCCGGCGCCGAAGCCGGCGCCGGTTGCGGTGGCGGTCCGGCTGGACTGGCCGCTGCAGCTGTTGGACGCGCCGGTGGACCCCAGCGTACCGGACGCTTCCGGCTGGAGCACCGCCGAGGTGGCCGCTTACTTCAGCCGTCACGGCTTCGCCCAACACGCCGACGCCTTCCGCAAGCACGTGAGTGCACCGCCAGCGTAGCCGGCCGGCGCGCCGGTGCTGTTGGCCGCGGGGCGCGCCGCTCGTCCGGTGCTGGCGGCCAGCGGGTGCGCCGCTCGTACGGTGTCAGCGAGCGCGGGGCAGCAGTCAGAGGGAGGCCCCCCTCCGGTGCCGGCTGAGTGCCAGGCGGTCAGACGCGACAGGCGGCTGTGTTAATGGGATGAAGGCGGCTGCCGTTCAGCTCGTGCCACTGTCGGTGGCGTGGTCCGCGGTGGTCTCGGATACAGCGTCTGACTGTGATGACTGGAGCTATGCACACCGCCGTTTGAAAGCGTCACCTCGTGCCGTCTCCCACAGGAGGTGGACGGACCGGCGCTGCTGATGCTGGCCAGGATGGACGTGCTGCGAGGCCTTGGCCTGAAGCTCGGGCCCGCGCTCAAAGTCTACAACCACGTCAAGCTGTTGCAGACACGGCGGCGAGCCTGTCTGGACTTCTGCCTACTCTGAGCACCGATAGATGACAGTCTGTGCAGCGAGCTTGCGTGGACTTCTCCCTGCTGTGAGTGTCAATAGATGGCAGATGTGGCGGGCTTGCGTGGCCTGCATCCCGTGAACGCCGATAACATGACGGGCTTGCTTGAAATTCTGCCTGCCGTGACTGGCGATAGATGGCACTTCCAGCGCCTCGCGGCTTTCGAATAATACGTCCGCGAGCTGTGTCCCTCCTTCATGTCATGGATGTCAGTGCTCGGATGTGGGAGGAATGTTTCACGCCGCCGCCGACACCCGGCCTCATGTGTGGTTCGGCGGTAGCGGCTGCGGTTATCAGACTACTTCGCCACCGGAGTGACGGCTGATTAATTCGTCGCCAGGCCTGTCGTGGACCGGGCCATCTCGGCGTGTAACGGCGTGGAGGCGCTGGCTGCTTCTCCGGTGTGTGTTGTCAGATGGCTGTTTTTCGCCGTCGGCTGGCTAAGCTGAGTCAGTCAGAGCTCCGCGTGACACAGAGACCTCATGCGGTGCTTGGTGTGGCATCTCCCATGCTTCCCTGTCGGTAGAATCAGCTGCGTGATGTCATTAGCCGAGATCTCTGGTATGTGGAGGCCGCGAGCCAAGTGAAGTGTTTTGGTGGTTTGTAGCAAGGCGGAGTAGGTACCGTGTATTGCCACCCCGGTGCACCGACGCCGTAAAGGGCGAGACATATATGTACGTGCATCGATTCCTGTGCTCGGTCTTCGGAATGGTTCAGGTACTCAGGTGGTCTGCGTACCCGGGTGATATGCATGCTACCTTTTGTGACGGAGCGATTGACGTGTATACATACATCAAAAGAGAGTTTTTGACCGGTGACGGTGTCGCAAGCCATACAGCATGTTTGTGGCCGAAGAAAGGCTTAGACATGTGGTGATCAGGCGCAACCCTGGAAGATGACGAGACCACCAGGTAACGAGGCAACAGCAGTTTTGCCACCAAAGAGCCATGCTATTGAGTGTTACAGGAAACCAGAGAATGACAATTTATTCCCGAAGGAAATGTCTCGCTTCTAGTGCTGAGCTGAGGTAGCCAGTTTGTTGCCTACGAAGACGTTCACTACCATTGATGTTTCAGGGTCAACGTTTTCGTGCTTGCTGAGCCGGAATGCGCTTAATTAGCCGGCCGGTTACCTAACATCCAGGTCTTCTTATTCGGCATCCAAACTCCGTTACGTAACGAGCAGTGATGACAGCCACGGCTAACTAGCTGACCACGAACCGCCGCTGTCGGTCCGTGATCGGCTGAATGCGACACCTGAGCCCTGCGCCAGCTGGACCGCATAATGACCTTCGCATGAATACGATGTAGCGCCTTTTGACGACAGCACGGGACGAGCGCGGCCAAAGGACGGCACATCAGTCATGTTCTTCCATTTTCCGATGCCTTGAAAACTGGAGATGCAAGGGCCGAGCAGGGAAAGGAATAACGCGTAGGCGGTAGATGTCGTCACTGGAGTCTTTTCCACGGATGACGCGTGGCAGAAGTCGTAGTTTGACAGCGCCCTGGAGGTGGCAGCACTATGTGTGTGCGCAATGGCTGGGTGGCGGCACGGTGCGGTCGGGCCTGCAAATCCATGACCTCACTTGATTCCGTGCGCTGAACCAAGCAACCGCAACCGCCCCGACCCGACGACCGCCAGTGGTTTGAAGCGCGGCGCCCGCAACAGTCACGCGGCTGCTGGAGCACTTTCACTGCCCACAGGCCGCCGGCCGACGCCTGCACGCAGGCGCACGCCTCGCAAAATCACCAACGAGGCCCTGACCGTGACCTGGTAGGGCCTGGCTTGCGGTCGCCCCGGACGGTGGCGCCACATAGCGGAAACACTCCTGATCCCGCCACCGACGCGCTGGCTCAGCGAGCCTCGCCAGAGCGACCAGGAGAGCGAGGGGAGGAGGCAATGTGGTCAATGTGGTCTCCGATGTGGTCACCAGGGAAGCCCAGAGCCGTTTCAAGCCTCGCCAGAATGACCGAAGGGGTGACACAGCCTCCGATATGGTCACCGGGGAGACCCTGAGCCTTCCCGAACCTCGCGATAACGCAGCTGAACAAGAAACCTCCGAGAACATGGCTCACACATTCCAGAAAATCTGATACGCGGTAGTTACCCCCTAATGGAACCTCACTGCAAGGCAGCTGAACCGGAGACCCCCGAGAACATGACTCACACATTCCGGAAAATCTGATGTATGGTGCTTACCCTCTAACGGAGCCTCACTTCAAGGCAGCTGAACCGGAGACCTCCGAGAACATGGCCCAGGCATTTCGGAACATCTGCTGCACAGCACCTACCATCTAATAGCTTCTCCTTCCACCGACTATGTCAGCAATGTATGTCATCTATGCGTTGTGGCCAACCCTTGCGCACAGTGATGTGATGCCTGATGACCGCCATGACATGAATGCAAGTCTGTTTGCTCCCTGGTCGCGACCTGCATGAGTAGTCATACTGTGACTTTCTACGGCAGTAATGTTTCTCGATATCTCCGTCACATTAAAACACGCAGGTTTTTTCATTTATCGCGGGATCGGTCTGACCCGCGGTTACTCGATGTAGATGTTATGTGTAGCTGACAACTGGTGGCATACTCGCGGGGAGGCAAGGTTTTTCGCAAGATGAGGCGTTACGTGGGTTAAATTGCAGATCTAATGCAGCCTTTCTCAATAAAATGGTTTTCATGAGAAAAATGGATGTGAATTAATCCGACACTGTGGTTTGTAATGAAAGACGTCTATTGTCTTTTCCCATTGGAATACACAACGAGGGGACACCGGAACGATTTGTGGTCATGACCGGTGAATGCCGAACATTTCAGCGGGGTTGAATCCGGTGCCTGGACGAGACAAATAGACAAATGCATCGTTTATGACTTGGACCGTTTGTTCGAGTTTCGTATGGCATGTTTGTTGTTTTCGGTGTATCGATATACAATATTACCTCAGTAAATTTATTTAGAAGCGTTTCGATCAGCTTTATGCCCAGTTTCAAGGAAATGACTACACTGGAAACATGCCGTCACGCACAGAACATGCATACCATTCTAGTTTTCATCGCACTCCCACGAAAAACACGCCGATTACAACAAGGCTCAGCCGGCGTTCAACTATGCGCTTACGAGAGGAGGTAACGAAGGCACGTGCGCCTACGCACCGCAACGCTGCACTCATCAGAAATTCGCTTGTTATTAACCATACTAGGGCTTGCTACATGCTGTAAACGCCTCAACACACTTGTAACATTGTATATTAGAAATATGGCATCCATCATCAACCCACAAAACAAACACCTCGCGCAACTATTACTTTGCGACATGCCACTGGTAAGACAGACTCTCATCGTCTGGTGCAAATGTGTGTGTGTGTGTGTGTGTGTGTGTGTGTGTGTGTGTGTGTGTGTGTGTGGTGTGTGTGTGTGTGTGTGTGTGTGTGTGTGTGTGGTGTGTGTGTGTGTGTGTGTGTGTGTGTGTGTGTGTGTGTGTGTGTGTGTGTGTGTGTGTGTGTGTGTGTGTGTGTGTGTGTGTGTGTGTGTGTGTGTGTGTGTGTGTGTGTGTGTGTGTGTGTGTGTGTGTGTGTGTTGTGTGTGTGTGTGTGTGTGTGTGTGTGTGTGTGTGTGTGTGTGTGTGTGTGTGTGTGTGTGTGTGTGTGTGTGTGTGTGTGTGTGTGTGTGTGTGTGTGTGTGTGTGTGTGTGTTCAGGTGTGTGTGTATGTGTGGATATAAAAGTGCAGTTGAAACGAGAGAATCCGTCAACATCGAAAGTACAGCCGCGGGGGACAAGACGCATGATTCGGGTCGGCAGGCCATTCAGCAGCAAGAAATACCAAACATACGCACAGTGCACGGCTTACATGACAACACATCAGCCAAGTTAAAGCCGGCAGAATCACACCAGCGTTCCGGCGGACTTGCCGTGTACACTGCAAAGTGACACTGGCGGCAGACATACCCAGTTGGACCCTGTCCGACGACTTCACTCCGGCTGCGGACAACGACGCAACCTCGCCTCGCATGCTGTTAGTGCAGTTTTGTTCTGATGCCGTTTTCTGTCGTGGAGCACACAAAACAGCCCAATCTGCCAAGCGTTTCGGGGGATAACCCCACCAACCCCAGAAGTGGTTTGACTCATGGCTTCGGTCAATCCTAAGCTTCAGTCTCCTGGGTCTTTCGTGAGCTCCGGCACTCCAAGTCCGCAGCCTGCACGGCACAATGGCGTCGCCGCCCCCGAAGCCAACAGACAGGAGCTCTGTGCCAGCCACTCGGCAGGCGACTCGATCGAGGCACAGGACGTGGCTGATCAAGGTCGGCCGAGCCAAGCCGAGCGGAATGCGTCAGCGGAGGAGTAAAAATACGCCCTCAAAGCGCGCTGGTGGCGGCTTCACATCCTGTTCGATGTCAAACGCCCAACGCGCGGCTTTTTCGTAAATCAGGGGCCTGGTGTCGTCCACCCGGCGCGGGATCTCCAGCAGCGGGCGTAATCTGGCTTCGCCTGTCTGCGCCCCCGCAGATTCCTCTGTAACGGGATCCGACGCGGAAAAGCCGCCGACGTCGTGCACCAGTGTCCGGCCCGGCCGGAGCGGCGTAGCGTCTTCCCAGTCGGCTTACCTCGCGCAGTCGTCCGGCCGCCAGCACAGCACAGCACAGCGCGCTCAAGCCCCGCACAGTGCGCGGCTCATTTGCGTATCGAAGGCCATCAAACGTCAGATCCACCGTGAGGAGCGGTGGCCTGCAATGCCGCGCGTCGCATACCAACGGCGCTTTGATAGCCAGTATCAGAGCCGGGCCCGCGAGGCTGGCGGCCGGGGCGACGCGTCGATGTCCGTTTCGAGACGCGCGGCGCTGTCGCGATGACATCGACGGCACTTGGCTTTTTGTCGGCGGCGAACCTGGGTGCCACTCACCGCGCTGGCGCTCTGGTGGAACGGCTTGGTTTGACGTGTTCTCCGCAGGATGCTGCTGGCCATTTGTTGCCCTGCTGGAAGACGCTTGAGCTAACGAGGAAGGGCGGGAGCTGCGGCGCGAGCCGCCGCCCTAAAGGAACACCCATGTGAGGTGCAGGCGTGCCAGGTGAGCTTGTGACCACCGGCGATGGCATACGGCGATACGATTGTTCGGTTTTTTGCTTTTTGTGCTCACCGTCTGAGTGCGTGGATGCCAAGCCATTACCAGACGGCTAATCGTTTTCCAGTATGAACGCTATCAAGATGATGATTAGCGGGGGCCCCACGGCCACTGCCTGCTCGGTGTGACAGAGGAGTTTGTGAGCCAGCCAGTGCCTCGAACGACCTTGATATGATCTCTGATAAGGATTAGATCCGTCTTCCAAAACGCTGAAAATGTGACTGACGAACCAGGAGCACGGCCTCGGAGAAACCCAGCTTGCTCTTCGCCCTCGCCTTGATATTTCCACGCTCTTACTGTGGGCCATGTCTTGGAAATATCGGCCTGGCTTACCTGGAAATTTTCGGAGCTCAATGGCATAAGGCGGAGCTCATTAGCTGGTTTTCGCGCTGGATCGCCTCCAAACACATGGTCGCCAAACACGTGGTGACGTGGTCCATGCCTTGTTACGTCCGTTGGAGTAAGCTGAGGTTAGGAACTTCCAGCTTGGTGAACAGTTATCGTCACGTTGCTCACCTTCACCTTCAGAGTTCGTTAAAACGCAGCTACTCCCAATCTGTTGTCAACAATGTTGTTATGACGCTCCATGGACTGTAAGCCATAGAAAATCGACTGATATGATTAGATCACACTAACATGACTCCGTAGATACGGTCCCCACTCATAACAATTAATGGTTAACA